CAAAATAACAAAGGAAAAGGAGAGTAAATAGTGTGCTTCCATGTGCATTCAGACTCCATATTTCTTTCTCTGGGTGTGGATAGCAATTTCCATCGTGAATCCTTTTTAGTTGTCTGAGATTTTTTCATTACTGTGAAGAGCCAAGTCTATCAAAGTCAGTCATCCCATAATGTGGCTGTTACTGTGTACAATGTTCTGCTCATTTCACTTTACATCAGTTCATGCAAATATTTCCAAGTGTTTTTGAATTCTGTCTACTCATCATTTCTTATAGCACAATAGTATTCCATTTCGTTTGTATACCACAGCTTGTTCAGCCATTCCACAATAGATGGGCATCTCCTCAATTTCCAATTCTTTGCTACCACAAAAAGAGCTGCTATAAATTATTTTTGTATGTATGGGTCCTTTTGGATATACTATTTAAATGAGGTTTTCAATTCTAACCTTTGGATTTTAAAGGTAGATATGTAATGTGTTCCATTAAGTTGTATTTATTAAAACTAAGTAAGAATTTTGTTAGGTAGAATTTCATGATTATCATTATGTCTTATACTACTGCTGTTTTTCACTCAGAAAATTTCAAACTCAGTTCCCAATTTGCTGCTAATAGATCAGTCCAGCAGGAAATGAACTGGAAAGGAGAAATATCTCCTAAAACAGAGTTCTTATATTCATTTACATCAACCATCTGTTCCCTGGACACAGACTTAAAGGCATGAATCTAGTTCATTTCATACATTTATTCAGGGTCTACTACCAAAAAGAAGATTAAAAATGTCAAAGCCTTTTGTTCTTCTGAAACCGAGTTATTCACAGCAGTTCCTTGAACAGAGCAACAGATCTAGTAAAAATAGCTGTAAAGATATGATCATTATCAAAATAATGTCTATCACTGCCTGGTATCAAGATCACTCATCAGTTACTGACATTCTAAGGGGAAATATAGGTATGATGTGCAGAGATAATGTGTACAAAGGGATTGTGTCTGCAGTCATTTCTCACTGTAACATATTCACCATGTGTTTAACAGGTCATTCAAAATAAATCTGTTGAAATCATAATTCATCTAGACTGAGTATTCCCTCAACATGTTATTCAGATGAAGGTATAACTTGCTACCTAGGTATAACTTTTTTTCCTTCTGTAGGAATGCTACACGGAGATATAATTATAGAAAGATGTCTATATATCTGTAAATATGCAAGTGTTGTTACTAACATTAACACAGAAAAGACCAAATGGACATTATGAAATTGAGACTTATTCAAAAGAATTAGAGTGGAAAACATATTGTATTTCCTAAAATGGTATGTATTATATTAAAAAGTTTATCAGTTTCATTACTATTGTTCGATATGGTCCAACTCTTCATGACCCTGTATGGGGTTTTCTTGGCAAAGATATGGAGAAGTTTGCCATTTCCTTATCCAGTGGATTAAGGCAAACAGAGGTTAAGTGACTTGCCCAGAGTCACACAGGTAATGTCTGAGTCTGAGGCCAGATTTGAACTCAGGTCTTTCTAACCCCAGGCCCAACTCTCTATCCACTGAGCCATCTAGCTGCCTTACTGTCCATTGCATACCAAAACATAATTACTAAATTATTATAAAGAGCTATACATTTGCCTTATAAAGATGGAATTTTCATTTAAAACCCATGTGCATGTAACAGTGTCTATGTAATTCTTTTTACGTATATGTATACTTGTGGGTTATGCTTACATAGATGTGTATATATGTACTACAGAATTCTTATATACATATATAATTGTAATAAATGTACATGTAAAATTTATATCTACATATTCTTGCAGTATACATACAATATTACATGCTCAAATACACAAATGTCTGTGATCTAATTGATTTGGAAGTTCTTTGGAACAATGCAGTTTTTATCCAACATTATCTGACCATTTTATGTGACACTTATCCATGACTTCCAAAAAAATTTCCACAAAGGGTTCCCTCAGTGTACTAAAAGACTTCCTTGATTTCTCCTGACATCGAGAAGTTAACATGAGGGTACTCTGGATGTCCATCTGTCATCCCTTGCCACATGACCCATTCCATCTTCTCTATTACCATGTAATTCCTAAATGATATTTTTTATTCCTGTTCTTTCTGAGAGTTTCTCATTGCTTATATTTTTAAGTACACTCACACTAACCATTTGCCTCTTCCTTGCACTCTGCATGATATTCATTTTTATTTTTTTGTTAAACATTATATTTTATGACTTGGTATCACACATCAGTATTGATAGGATATAGGGATTAAAGAAGATTAACATTTGTTTTTGTGAGAAGCTTGGAGTCATTAAAGGAGTTCTGTCATTTCTTGAAGGTAATCTGGCCTGTTTTTTCCTGTTCTACTCTAGGCCCAAATAATTTTTTCTGTCTTTACACCTCAGATAGTCATGAATATACTGAGATGTGTAGGTTGTCCAGCCAAATGCATGTTCCAATCTGTGCTATAGAAATTATTTGTCCATTTGGTCTTTTCTATGTGAATGTCAGATCAAATTCCAATTGATGGCAAAGTTCTTCCAAGAGGCTTTGCAATATTCTGGGGCTTAAGGAAGTCAACATAATGTCATATATAAATGAGATCATTTGGAAGACCTCATAGTCCAAGGAGAATCCCCCTTCAACTTGAATTCTGTGCTGATTGTCTTCCATCACAGCAACTAGCACCTTCAGTAAGCATATGCTTGTTTTTTTGCCTCAACTCATATTTATAGGAGGGTCATTAAAGAGGGTATTTGTACTATTATATCTTTCAAGGAATCTTACTTGACTTTGATGGATTGATGAGGAACACATTGTTGAAAAATAAAAGTCTGGAAGGCAGCACTTTGTCCTATCTTTTCAATATTTTTTCAGACTCACAAAACAAAATTGGAATTTTCTGTTTTCTATATCTTTCACTTAATTTAAAAATACTAATGATGAAGTACATTTTGAATATTGCTTGCAAAAATCTGATTGTTCCCTACCAATACCCTCTTGAAAGATGTCCTTGGTTCATGGATAAAGATTTTGCATAAATGAGAAAGTAGACATATAAGTGAGCAATTATTTATGTTTTACTGGACCCCTAATTTTAGTATTAATAGAGTCTGAGATGTTTTCCAAGCCTTTGGTTATCTTCCTTTCCTTCTTATATTTTGTTTCTTTGTCCTCCAATCCCCTCATAATTGTTGCCCCCAGCACAGAACTCTCTTTGAACACTTAGTCCAATTGAGTTCTTCTTCCCACACTTGTGCTCTCTAGGTTATTTCTACCTCTCCTAGAAGCAAATCTAGAATTGTGGCATTAAGGACCAAGTGTAGAGTTTCTGATATTGTGGATGGAGAAACCAGTTCGTTGTGATGCTTTTTACAAATCTTTTTTTAAAATGTTTTCTTCTGTTTGCTATCTTCCTTCCATTTCATCCTTAAATATCTCTGAGACTTCTTTACTTCAAAGTTTTACCAAGCTTTCTTAAAAGTGACTTTACCCTCCATTGTTTATCTCTGCCTTATTAGAAAATACTAATTGTCATTTCAGAAATCATTATTCATAAGAGTACTAATTCAATATCGCTTCTCTCTTCATTTGGAAAGTAATTCAGATGTTTGCTTATTCAGGGTCTTTCAGGGGCCTTTCTTTTGGTATCCTTGTTGAACTTAACTGACATGATAAGACTCCTGGTTAAAATAACGTATATGTAGTTTCTTTTATCCTTGTTCCATTTTTTGATTGTCAATTACATGTTTGGATTGTTTAGAGTTAAGTTGTCTAGATTATAAACTATATATTTTTCTTCTTGGTTTTGAACTAATTCTTATCTTGCCACTAAAAAGCTAATAGTATTTTATGAATGTATTTGGATTCTATATACAAATACATTTCAGCTCTTCAAAAAAAATGTGAACTTCATGTGATATATGTGATGCTTTTTATGATGTAAAATACCAACAGTCAGATATAGCTCATAAAATATAAGACAAAAATAAGCACATACATTTGTATTTAGAGACAAGTAGTTAATATAAATGAATATGAAATACATATTAGGAGATAGATCTCCTTCAAAGTGTTTCTGAACCAACCCATTGAAGCCAATTGGTAATTGAGTCTGAAATTTTTTGAGTGCTAAAAATGATGTGAAAAAATGCTAGTACTTATATGTATTTTACATACACATATCAGAATGTTTGTAATTGTTTTAGTTTCAGCTTCTGTCAGTAACATTATTCTATAAAAAGTTAGTCCCAATTTATCAGTATGAGGGCACTGCGTAAAGTGATTAAAGAGAGACAGTGGATGTATTTTATTTCTCTTTATTGTATCCAGAGGGTTCTCAACCCTTTTTATCTTTTGGATCCTTTTTGCAGTCTTAAGATGCCTATGGATGGATCTCTTCTCAGAACAATGCTTTTCAATGTATACAATAAAATACACAAGATTACAAGGAAGACCAATTATATTGAAATATAGCCATAAAAATATTAAAATGAACATGACTACATGTTCTGTACTGCAGGTTAAGAATCCTTGCTTTATACTGAAATAGGCAAACTACCCAAAAATGTCATATATATTCTACATGTTGCATTCTTTGCAAAGTCTGTGGAAAAATTCCAACTTGCCTTTTGAAACACTTGAGATAGTGGCAGACTCCTAATATAATGAAACTGGAATTATGTATTTGTTGCCATCCAAAATATTCATATCAGTGGTGATAATAATTTGCCTTACCATGGTCTTTTATGTAAATGGCTTTAATAGTACCCTTTTCATTCATGAAAACTGGCACATTAATTCTTGATATTTGTGATTAATATAATCTAAATGTACATTAATTTGGATGCCAAATAAATCAATCTATTTTCAGAGATAATATAGGGGAAAATAACGATTCCATGTATTTCTAAAATGTGCTTTTATATGTTATAATATAGATTCATTTTAAAAATCAACATGTTATACATATTTATTCTCTTTTTTGCAGTTCAACAGAAGAACAGTTTCATTGGCAAACACAAGGTAAAGTATAGAATTGTGATGGAAATTTAAAGTCACATGTGAATCAAAGTTAATTTCATCGCACTTATGAAATAAAAGATAGAAAGATATAAAATGAGCAAAGCAATAGCCTGAAATTAAACTTTTAAATTCTTTATGAAAAGCTTTATTTAGATAAGTATGATTGGAAAGGATTTGGTTGAGTTCTTGTCAATTTCTTGACTAATTTTAGAACCCCCAAAAGAAATGGTCTTAATTGTTTCTGACTAAAATAAAAAAGAGAGAGAATAGAATGTGATAGTGATCTGACCAATTATTGAGGTAAAAATATTTCATCAGGATGCTTTTGACTATCAAATAATGGAAAAAAATGAAAATACATTATTGATAATGAGCTAATTTTTTTATATTTATTTTAAATAGATGGTCAGAAGGATATAGAGGATGAACTCACAACTGGTCTTGAACTGGTAGACTCCTGTATAAGATCGCTTCAAGAATCAGGAATACTTGATCCCCAGGACTATTCAACTAGTGAAAGTAAGTTTGAAGAACCTTTTCTTTTTTGTCTGCTGTTCCATATTTATTTTCTGAAGGTGCTTGCAGTGTTTCAAATGAGAAAAAAAAGCGTTGTGTTTTTCCAGCCCTCATTTCCTCCTTCAACCTAGAACATTTAGATTATTTAAATTAACTATTAACTCTATTCTTACATACGGTCTATCATGTTCAAAGACCAAATATTTTCACAATTACTAATGAAACAAAATGGATGACTACTTTACAAAAATCTAAAAGCAACTCACAACATTCTATGTTCAATAATTCATTCCAATTATTTTTTAAAATAACTTTACATAATTATGAAAATAGAATGTCATAATTTCTCTGTATATCCTGAATAACAACATTCAAATCCTATCAAAGTGTTTTGATGTTTGCAATGGAATAGAAGATATGTGTAGTTGAATTAATCTATTATGAGTGTTACATTTTTTTTCTCATAGTAATAAAAAACAAATATCTCTGAAAATCAAATCATTAAAACATATATTTGTTATGGGAATTACAATATCAGAAGGCAGTAGGATTTTTTTATTCTAGATGTTAAAAATATAACTTCTTAAAGCTCACCACGAATGTTCATTTTGAGATAAATTCAAAATAAAGCAGCCTCCTCATAAACTTCTGTATATATACATATAACTTTTGATATTATTCTATGACCTGCATTTAGTCTCTGTAGTTTCATAACCTTTATTATCCATGGAGAATTATAGGACAGCATCATCAGGAACAGCCAAGACCAATTAAAAATGAAATCTATCCCCTTCAATAAGGTAGGTGGTCTGATCTTATCCTTGCTATCTGTATTTTGTACTTAAAAAGTCATACTGCCTTCATGACCTAAAAGAGGCTATCTATCTATCAGTACAGCATGGTACATTTCACTGTTATTATAGAGATATAAAATGGCAGCCTTGGAAAGAACTTCAGAGATCATTTACTCTAGCTCCAATCTGAAAAATGAATGGCTTCATGTTTCACTGAAAAAAATAATTGAGACTCAAGAGTTTCTTCTTATATCCTTCTCCTCAATTCACATTTCTCAGATGCCCCCTGATACTCTCTTCTTTCACCCCTGTCGCACATGAAGAAGTGACCTATCTTGCCAAGGCAAACCTTTTTACTTGGATAAGTGATCCCATTTCATCTCCTCTTCTCTAGCAGATTGTGTCCTCTATCTTCCTCCCTTATTTATCTTCAGTCTCTCCTTGTATACTGGCTGCTTCCCTTCCATGTCCTCAAAAAAACATAACTCAATCCATTCATCCCTTCTACTCATCATTCTATATTTCTCCTCCCTTTTTTTGGCTAAACTCATTGAAGAGGCCATCTACAATAATTACCTTAATGTCCTTCTCCTACTCTCTTCTTATTTAGTCTGGGTTCCAACATCATTCAGCTGAAACTGCTCTCTCCGTAATTGCTAATGTTTTCTTAATTGCCAAATCTAATAGCCTTTTCTTAATCCTCATCCTTTTTGACCTCTCTATAACCTTTGTAATTGTTGATCGTACTCTTCTCAACACTCTCTTCTTTCTTGGTTTTCATGAGACCACTCTATCTTGTTCCTCATCTTACCTGTGTGACTTCTCCTTAGTCTCCATTGCAGGATCTTCATCCAGGTCTTACCCATTAACCGTGGGTGTCCCTCTATCCCCTTCTTTTCTCCCTCTATACTATTTCACTTGGTAACTTCATCAAGCACCATGTATTCAATTATTATCTCTGTGCTGATGATTCTCAGATCTACTTATCTAGCCTTGGCTTTTCTTCTGACTTCCCATCTTACATCTCTGCCTATGGGACTTCTGGAACCAAGTGTCACATAGACATCTTAAACTCAGCATGTTCAAATCTGAATTATTTTTCCCAAACTTCTCCTCTTCCTAACTTTCCTGTCACTGTTGAAGGTACCATCATCCTCCTAGTGCTCAAAGTTCACATCCTAGATGTCTTCTATCTTGCCCATCCCATATCCAATATGCTATCAAGGTCTGTTGCTTTTCCTTTCATAACATTTCTCATATTTTCCCCCTTTTCTCCTTAATACTGTCACAATCCTGGTCCATGCTGTCATCAGCTCACAACTTGATTATTGCAGTAGCCTTCTTGTTGGTGTCTATGCCGCAAGGTATCTCCCTACTGCAGTCCATCCTCCATTTAGATACCAAAGTTATCTTCCTAAAGCTCAGGTTCAGATTTGTGATGCTCTCTTTCTACCCCCACTAATTAAACTCCAGTAGCTTCCTATCACCTTCTGTTTGGCATTTGAATGCTCTTACAGCCTTACCCCCTTCTACCTTTCTAGTCTTCTTCTACTTTGTCTCCCACCCATCACAATGTCAATCCCTATCTGGTAAGACTGGTATCCTTGATGTTATTTGAACAGGGTACTCTATCTGCTCTATATCCTAACTCTGAGCATTTTAACTGGCTGTCCCCAAGCCTGGGAATGTTTTTTCTCCTCATGTCTATTTTCTGGCAACCCAGGCTTCTTCAAGTCCCAACTAAAAGCCTAACTTCTACAGGAAATCTTTCTCAATCCCCCTTAATTGTAAGGCCTTCTCTCTGTTGATTATCTTCAACTTACCTGGTATATAGCTAGTTGATATGTTATTGCCCCCATTAGAACTCCTTGGGAGCATGGATTTTTTTTTTGTCTTTCTTTGTATTCCATGTGCTTAGCGCAGTTTCTTGCACTTACTGGGTACTTACTAAAGGTTTATTGACTAACTGACTTTGAGAATACCCCTAAAAAGTAATCATCTAGCATTTGCTTGAAGATTTTGTAATTATAATAAAAAAGTCCTACCTGTTGAGTCAGCCCATTCCATTTGAAATAACTCTAGTTGTTAGGATATTTTATATAGATGTTACTCACAAGAAATCATATTCAGAGTTTACTGGTGATTTGTATATTATTGTTTGCAGTCTGTTTAACATTTGTCTAAAATGGATGTGCTTCAATTTAATTTGGGGAGGTGATTAGTTGGTATATAATCTTTGATTTACTGAGTTATGAAAAGACTCAAAATATAACCAGAAATTTCATGGAATTAAAAAAAATGTTTTGGGACTAAAATAATATTTTTATCTCTTCTGATTTGAAGGTACAATGCTTTTGTTATTCTGAGAATTAAAATTGCCTCCAAAATATCTCCATCCTTTTTAAAAAAATGTTGGTAGACTACAAAATTTTATTTCTAGGTGACCATAATAACATGTATGTCACAAATTAAAGTAAGGTGGATACATTTGATTTGCTTTTACAAATCTGTTATAAAATGCAATTAGAAACTTACCTGTACTAACTCACCTTTCTAAATGTAAATGGAAGACATCAGGAAATTGCTGGTGTCAGAGGCCCAAGATGTGAGAGAATGCAGAAAGAAAACAACTAAAGAACATATAAAGAATAGCTCCCCATTATGTATTTGTAAATGTCTTCTTTTCTACATCAAAACTCTAACTATATACATTTTCCCCAAAAGAAGTCTGCTTTCCCTTCTGTTACATATTATTTTAAGCAGGTTACATAGCCTCCTCAAAAAAGTATGGCTATTGCTTTAGAAAAAAGTATATTAATGAAAAAGACATAGGCAAAAATAGGAAAAGTATGGGGTTTTTTTAGATTATGAAGAGGAGGAAGGAATGTGCATTTCCCAAATGAAAAACAGTTACTGCCATCTGTGTTATGAATGGCTCCTGGGATTAAGGTCTAAGTTTAGAGATTTGGGAAGATGAGTGAAAATTTCCATCAAACATGTAATTGTGTTTTGTAATTGACAAGGTACCAGAGGTATTCAGAAACCAATTATTATGCTCAAATGAAGCTCAGACGTGACAGACTGAAGGGTTGAAACTTGGAAGGGGGAAAATACCTCTCAAGACCTCTGAAACTGCTCAAATAGAGAAGAATTAGAGTTTGAAAGCATCAACATATCCTTAGAGTCTATCCTGGGATTAATTGTACCTTAGGGTCACAGTGAAGACCATACAAATCAGTACCCTTCAACCTAGATCCCCAGAACTGACTCAGCAAGTAGGGGGAGAGGAAAGTAGCAATCAGTCAATCAACCAGCAAGTATTTATTATGCAACTAATATATGTGGGACACTGTGCTAGGTGATAAGATAAAAATACATAGAATAAAGCAATCCCTACTCATAAGTGTATATTGTATCAGGAGAGATAACAATCACAAGTATAAGTACATACAGAATGAATATAAAGTGAATAAATATAAAGTAGTTCAACACAAGACAGTTTGGAAAGGAGGGCACTAGAAGTTGAGGGAATAAGGAAAGATTTCATGCAGTAGTAGAGGTGTGTTTTTAAGAAAGAGAAGATTCTATGAACTAGAATCAAGGACAGTGTATTTCTAGCATGGGGGATGATTAGTGCAAAGATGGGAGATAGAGTGGTGTGGGTAATGAATGAAGAGAAGACAAAGTTGACTGGATAGCAGAATGTGGGAAGGGGGATTAATATACAATATAGCTAGAAAGATAGGTTGAGTGAAGGTTGTGAAGAACTCTAAAAGCTAAACAGAGGATTTTATATTTTATCCAAGAGACACTAGGGAGTTGATTGATCAGAGTAGTGGCATGGTCAGATTTGAACTTAATGAAAATCACTTGAACAGCAGTGAGAAAGATGAACTGAAGTGGTCAGAGACCTATGACAGGGAAAACAATTAGGATACTACTGCAATACTCTATTAGGTAAGAGATGATAAGGATCTGAACTTCAGTGGTGGTAGCAGCTGGTGAGTAGAGAGAAGAAACTGGATTTAAGAGATATGGAGGTAGAAGTGGCAAGATTTGGCAACTGATTGCATATGTGAGGTGAGGAAATATAAGGAATTAAGATAACATCAAGGTCATAAACCCAGGAGACTGAAAGAATGGTGGTATCTTCTATGGAAATAGTGGAGACTGGAAGAGAGTTAGATTTGGAATAGGGATAGGAAATGG